CCAACCTGTAGCAAGTCACTAGCGAGCATCAGATTAACTTTCTATAGTTTGGTTTGTAAGGATTAGTTATGTTTTACGGGTTGATCACGGATTGATATCAGTTAGAGAACCATTGAAAACCAGGGAGTACTGGACAGCTGCTGTTTCATCCTAGTTTGGGAATCATCGCCAGTACGCACCCACTGGGATTCGAACCCGGGACCTTCCGGTTACAAGGCAAGCTCGTATACCATTAAGCCACTGGGACCCGATTCAATGGCTCGTGAATTCTAACTTCTACTAATTCGTGATTTAGCGCGACCCCAACCATTGTCGTTGGTGGACATCCATCCACACACGTGACATCTAATTGGACCTCACTGGTCACGACTTCTCACTAGAACTCAGGAAACTCCAACCTGTAGCAAGTCACTAGCGAGCATCAGATTAACTTTCTATAGTTTGGTTTGTAAGGATTAGTTATGTTTTACGGGTTGATCACGGATTGATATCAGTTAGAGAACCATTGAAAACCAGGGAGTACTGGACAGCTGCTGTTTCATCCTAGTTTGGGAATCATCGCCAGTACGCACCCACTGGGATTCGAACCCGGGACCTTCCGGTTACAAGGCAAGCTCGTATTCCATTAAGCCAGCAGCTTTCCAGTATTCCCTGGTTTTTCAATTGTTCTTTAACTGATATCAATCCGTGATCAACCCGTAAAACATAACTAATCCTTACAAACCAAACTATAGAAAGTTAATCTGTTGCTCGCTAGTGACTTGCTACAGGTTGGAGTTTCCTGAGTTCTAGTGAGAAGTCGTGACCAGTGAGGTCCAATTAGATGTCACGTGTGTGGATGGATGTCCCACCAACGACAATGGTTGGGGTCGCGCTAAATCACGAATTAGTAGAAGTTAGAATTCACGAGCCATTGAATCGGGTCCCAGTGGCTTAATGGTATACGAGCTTGCCTTGTAACCGGAAGGTCCCGGGTTCGAATCCCAGTGGGTGCGTACTGGCGATGATTCCCAAACTAGGATGAAACAGCAGCTGTCCAGTACTCCCTGGTTTTCAATGGTTCTCTAACTGATATCAATCCGTGATCAACCCGTAAAACATAACTAATCCTTACAAACCAATCTATAGAATCTTTTAATATTATCTAAATTTATCATTATTATTTTTCCCTTGTGTTCCTATTTCAAAATAGTACTTCAACTGCACATCTCCTCTTTCTTCTGTCTTCCTTCTGCTTTACCTTTCATCTTCATCCATGTTAGTGCATACTATTTCAAATCCTCCTCACACGACCTCCTCCATATCACGCTTGCACTGATGTTCCACTTTCCGCTTCCCTTTCGGCCTGGTTCCACTCAAGAAATGGCCTGACGCGCGATGTCACCCAGCGGCCTCCTCAACGAGCGAGTGTCCGATCCATCTCCACTTTCTCCTTCATATTTTTTGGGCGAACGCTTCCTGTTTTGTTTGTTTCCATAGTTTCTTGTTGGTGACTCTTTCCGTCCCGGTCATCTGATCTTCAGTATAGAGAGAAGACAGTTGTTGATAAAGGTCTGTAACAGGCTGTTGGAAATATCCCTTGAGACCCGCCAAGTCACAAATTCTGATCCGTATGGAAGAACTGACTGACTTGACGTTTGTATTGAAAATCCGACTGAAATTTGTTGCCGATGCAGAGTGACGAAGATTTCCAGATTGGTTTCAGGTTGATGAATGTGTTTCTCGCCTTCCCGATTCTGGATTTGACATCCTCGTCCGTCCCGACTGCCTGCAGTTGAGACAATGCTCCCTCCATTGATAAGTGAATGAAGTAACCTCTTTCAAATCCCTCCCGTTGATGATGATTTGCGCCAGATATTGCTATTTTTGTTGTTGTTGGTTGGTTATTTTCATAACCTCTGTCTTGTCTATTTTCGCAAAATTTAATGATATGATATATATTGACATTCATAACAAGTTTGGTATGTTTTGCACCGAAAGAATAAGAAATGCTTTTGTGTTGGAGGAAATGAATATTTGATATATATATATATAGCGTTAATGGCAGCCTTCATCTACAGAGAATTTGAAGATATCAAAAGAAAGACGTCAAACCCAATGTAAATTGTGCAAGATAAGATAACGTAAGAAGTAAAGATTTGTTGTTGTTCCGAAATGTTATGTAGGGTGTTATCTGAAATAATCAGCTGATCCATGCTTTTGCGTTCAAAAGAGAATTCATGTTTAAGCTATGAAATTCAAGGTTTCTTCTCTGTTCTCCGTGGCAGACATTCAAACTCAAGAGCGGTAGCAAAATACAGTCCTATCCCAGAAAGCCTGGCGATATGAACAACAACACAGCTGTTTGCTCATAGGGAGGTTTTTTGTTGCTTTTGTGATTGATATTTATGTAATGAATTTTAGTACGTTAAGCCCGTAAACTCTTAGGGTATATCCCCACTAGCATAAAGACAAAAGCTGTACTGTGCGGTCTTACTGCGTGTAACCAACAGATAATGCCCTTAAACTGGCGTCCCTCATATACTGTACAATGAGAATAATTATTATTAAATAGATACAGCCCAGTCGGAGAATTCACATAGAAAAAGCAAAATTTGGTATAAATGGGCAATTTCGGTCGGTAGAAGCATGGACAAAACTGGAAAATACGTAACTTATACTGCACACTATTTCCCATTTTACCTACCCTTTATCCCATATTTCGCACGCTTTTACCTATTATCCCGACGTTTTTAACGAACCAAGCTTCCACTTTCGCCCTCGACCATGAACTACTACACTGAACTTTCCATGCAGTAACAGGAGTAATGGCAGCTGTTTTTAAATTTGAATAACTCTACTGTTCTGTATTCCACTCATATAAGGTAAATGAGGGGTGGGAATAATATATTTTATACAAATGAATATTGCCTTATAAAAACATTTATAACTAAAAAGGTGTGAAGTACTGATTGTATAGATTATTTCGGCGACATTGGTTATCTAGGGCTGGGTTGACTAACTTTGCAGGACTTCTGTAATAAAGGAATGAGGGATGTAGTTAAGTGCATTGCAGTAACAATGCATTTATGAAGAAAGTGAAACATCTGTTTTAATAGCCTACCTCTTCTGATAAGGGTTCGTTCTTTTTTCGCAACCGTTGATCATGACACCAATCTTTTGTGGCTTTCACGATCACTTCGACTGTTCCCTCCCCGGTATTCCTCGATTGCAGTTGTTTACGAACTATGACATCTGAATATATAGTGTTAGTATTTAATACTGTGTCTTTTAAAGGTCTACATACCGACTAAAAGTAGAAAAAATGTGTAATCGTGAACACCATTCTTATCCAAAGTCACTTTATAAATCATCAATCGTGTTAAATTTTGGTCAAGTACTGTATCTTGAAGTGTAGTTGATACATCTAGAAAGTAGTTATTGAAGAAACTGGAGTGGCACTATTAGTGTCGGTACGAAGTAATTCCTTTGTTTAAGTTTTTTGTCCGAAGTCGGTAACACTGCCATTGATTTGACAGGCAGCTTGATGTTGTGTTCGTTTTCATCAACTGTGACTTCATTGGTGACAGAATGTAGTAAGTTGTCACGCATAAGTACTTCCGTCTGTACTTCACTAGTTCGGTCGATAGATCACAGAACTACAACAGCTAGCTCCTTTATGTTATCAACTATTTCTTAAAGCACTCCAGCATGCTTCGAAGATCTGAGAAAGAATGATTATTTAAATTTATATAACTTAAGTAATTTTGTTACCAGTAATAGTAATTAATTGCAGGCCACTCTTTGGCAGGAAGCTAATAGTGCTTGTTATTTATGTTACTGTTTGCAAGGATCATACCAGGTATTCCTTTTCTCACATCGGAAACTGCTATCCAGATCTGCATAACCTGGGTCTTCGCATACATCACACTGTTTATCCATCAGGTCAGATGGATAGTCGTCTTCAATGAAAATACCATTCTTCAGAGCACTGTGTAATAATTAAATCATCAAATTATTCATACACTCTTCGTCTTTTCTGAGTGCATATTATAGTAAATTTTGAGTACTGACTGCAATATGCACTGGCATATATCCGTTGCAGTGCCTTGTGCTTTGAACCGGCGTCTGCCAAACCATTTATAAAAATAGGTGAGTTACGTAAAACTTAACTTGCTTCAAAAATAATTTCATATGGCTTCATCTTCCAATTTACTTGTGGGTTTTCTTGTTCATTGCCAGTTGGGTTATAATCTTGACAACTCATCGCAATATTAAGTCCAAGAAACCACATATTCCTCCTCCGTACTCCATATTTCAGCGGTTACTAGTCTTTTGAATTAGGTACCTTTCCAAGAAAGGCGAAACGAATCGTTTCGCTACAAATTTATCCTTCTTGGTGGCTCATTTCAAACTGGTAGGGTATTCTTTTTCTATCTATGCTCACAGGTCAAACGAACCCCTGACTTAATGCATACTGATATGATGGAGAACACGGAAGCGTCCCTTATCAGAATGACTCATTTGGTTAAATCGCACACAGTAGTAGTGAAACACACAACCCTATGTAAAAACTCCCATTGGAAAACACTTTTATTTTTCTGATTATTTTTGTTTCATTTCATGGTTTTTACACTGCTACTCAACTCTATTCATCCCTCTTTTTCGCAACTTCTTCTACTCGTAGTGGCATATAATCCCCCGAAATTATTAGCCTACAGCATTCATCACTAAGCATTGGGTACTGACTATCCCTGTTAAAGTAGGCTTATTCATATGTAGGCTGGCGGTTAAGGATTTATGCTATTTGGCACGCCGTCGTTTTACTTTCCTTTGTTCGTTCGTGCACGATCCCTAGCTAGTTAGACAATAGTCCCTGCACTGTGATTTTGATCCCGAAATATATATCGTTCCATGGACGATAAATTCGGTGTTTTGACTTGCTTTGGTCTACACGGAATAACTGATATAGGAATCGTGTGTATAGAAGTTTGAGTTAAATTTCGACACTGATGTCCAACATGGTGATATGTACATACCACTTACAACAATCTTTGTATTTTGTGCGCTTGCTAAGCTATCAGTCTACCAGTAGTGAATAAACCGAGATTAGGAAATTTGACTTGCTTTCAAATTATAAAGATTTTTTGTATGTAATTTTTTCCCAAATTTGGTTATAAGGCGAATTATTGAGTAAGACTTGTAGCAGCAGGATATTCCCTGGAATTATTAGCCACAGCATTCATCACTGAAAATTGGATGCTGACCCTCACCATTCAGTTCATGCCATTTTGGCCAGGTAATGTGGAATCATGGTTTCAGATGGCCGAGTGGGATTTTAGTCATCATGGCATCACTGACCAACGTTCACAGTTCCTTGAAGTTGCTTACGCTCTACCAAATGAAGTAAGCAAGTGCGTAATTGTGCAGGTGTCAAGCCAAGAGGTAAGTGACCCATATGGGGTGCTTAAAGCGGCCCTCCTAAAGAAAAACGACCTCACGGACCGTCAGCGTCTCAACGAACTATTTCGCAGCGTCAAGTTAGGTGGTCAGTTGGCTGTGAATGTGCTAATGAGAATGAGAGAAGTTATTGGCTAACGTTAGTTTGACGAAGGACTCTTCAGACAGCTGTTCTCATCCAAAATTGCCACAGTAAGTACAGACTGTGCTTGTGACACTCTGAGGTGTTATTACAAACGATTTAGCTACTTCTGTGATAAAACTGTAAAAATAACACAACGGCCAGTCACTGGAATGTGCCCAGTCGCTGAACAGACTTCGAGTAAGGACACTGCAGTGATGGAGTTATGCAACTCCATTCAGCAACTCCTTAGGCCAAATAGGCCCCATATCTCCTCCTATCATGGTAGGAATTCCTCTCAAAGGCGAAACCCTCGAGGTCAGTCAAAATCCAAACCACGTTCACTTAAAACCCCTGACTGGTGTTGGTATCACAATACCTATGACCAGGAAGCCAAATGTTGCTGAAAACCTTGTAGTTTTGGCAATGACTCGAGGATTATGGGAAACTATCCTGCCGGAACGCGTTAGTGGCAACTGTCGCTGATGACACTAGCCGCTTACAGTACATCCGTGATATAGCCAAGCCATCCCTGTACTTGGTTGACTCAGGTGCCGAAGTCAGTGTCCTGCCTACTACAGGGGCAGATCGACAGAAGGACCATGCCTTCAGCTCACAGGCTGCTAGTGGAAAACCGATTGCGACATTAGGTAAGTTTACGCAAACCTATTCAGTGGACTTTAATGCTCGCTGACGTCATTATGCTTATCATCGGCACTGACCTACTTAACTATCACGATATGCTCGCAGTTGTCCGCCGAAAACAACTAATAGATGGTACTATCTTGCTGTCTATCAAAGGCATCACCTATGAACGTCCCAGTTTGGCACTGGTTAAGAAGAAGGCGATCTTCAATCCAACTTTTCAGTCAATTGTTGACATTAGCCCGGAACTCAATTGCCTGCTTAGCGTCCTACTGAGCATAACCGATAATTTTATGCACCGTACCACAACCACAGAACAACCCGTGACATAATAACCACGACGACTTACTGATGACAAACTACGATTCGCTAGAAATGAATGATTCATGTGACTCGTCGATTGAGTGCAGTAGTGATATATCCTTAATGGAATAGTTCTGTTTCATCAACTTCCTTAACTTGTCGTGGTATGCCCTTGAAATTTTTTCAGCTTGTTGTCTACTTAATTTCACTACCTTCTTAGGAGCAACAGTATCTAGACAAATGGAAACATTCCTGTAAAATAGGGACAATACGGCCTCCAAGGAGTCAGTGGTAAAATAGTCATCCCATTGACAGAGTCGAATGAGTTCTTGGACTAATCCATAGTCTGTATGTATTTAACTATGGCTTATCATGCTCCCAGAATCTTGTTTGTTCCCTGTATTTACTGGTGACAGAGGCAGAGAACGGAGCACCATTCTATGGTCACTACTGGAAAATCTGTTACCAACATGGGCGGAGACTGGGATTGTGTCGTGACAAAACGCAAGGTCCAACATGTTGTCACCACGGATAAGTGTCTGGACGTGTTGTCGCCATCCATAACAGTCGATAGTGGCAAGTAATTCGTCAAGGCGTTGGGGTCTGAACCGCTTAACCAGTTGACGTCTGGAAGATTGAAGCCCCTTACGAAACTGTATGATCCACCACAAAACATCTAGAATCACTTATCAAACCCGAAGGCATAGTTGGCCGAAGAAGCTGTTAAGAGGATTATGTTTTCACACAATGTCTCGGCCTATGACATTCCAGACAGACAGCCTAGAGCCAAACTTAAAACCTCATGTCTAAAGGCTTGTAATATGTGGTTGACAGAATGTCAGGTTTTGTGTCTTCGTAAGAAATCTGCAAACCACTCATGTCCGGTGCTTTTCAAGTTCAGGTCTGTCGAAGAATCTAGGAATTTTCTGAAATCTGGTAAGATAATAGAATCTTCAACACTTTACACTAACATTAGAGTCGCACCTGACTTAACACCATACCAAAGACGATGCCGCTCAGCAACACTGAATGCTGACAACCCTAATAGGACAATGTAGATGTTGTTTCATTCATTATTCCGTTTTGGTGATGTACTTGATGACCACATTTTCGCAGGCACTGACAAATAGTGGCCAATTATTGTACAGAAACACTGATGCTGACACAAATGGTAGGAATAGATGAGTCAACAGAATATAATGTTGCAAATACATCATTTGCACATAGACTTAAACATCAAGAACGGGAAAACATCAAAACCCATCCCACTAGTGTTATACCTATTTCCTCATGAGTCAGTTGCTCCTCAGGCTGAAAATCCATCAACTGTGAAGTACCAGTCAAATAAAGCTACCCAAGTTAGCAAGTTCTCTAGGCATTATGACAAACGTCCTACTTCCATTAAGTAAACTAAAGCACAAGAGGTGTCCAAGCAATAAAAACCCTACATAGCATGTGCTGGCTGCCATGTTAACCACCATCAACCAGTTGATCATAAGAAAGGGGAAACCGAAGTAAATAAATTAAATACTGAGCCCAGAGCAAGAAAGCCCCTTGATATGATAGAGACGAAGACACCTCTAAGTCATCCTTCTACGAAAAAGTCAAATATGATAGACCAAGCTCCTAGAAGTAGGCCTAACTGGGGTGAAGTGGAAAGTCAGTTATATCCAACCACTAATTCTAAACAAGCAACAGAGCGAGGTAGTCAGTGTTATTCTGCTCATCCACTACGCAAACCCATTGTTAGCCAGCCCCTTTCTAACGTTCTATCAAATAAAAGTTATACGAAATCCCCCAAACATTGGCTACAGACTACATTTAGCAAGCCAAATAAGCCAACAGAACCCATTCATACATCTTGTGTATCTAGTAACTTCTTTGTAGTTAAATATAGGCATATATGGAACTTCTTGCCAAGCGAAATCAAAACCAGCACCACAATACACCGATTCATCCATCTAGTAAATAAATATTCTTCCAAAAACCGTCTTGACACAGTTTGCCACATGCTGAAAATTCGTGATATTGTTTCTTTCTCCTTTATTTTACGTACCTAAACAGCTCTGTTCACTCAACGTATTAACCGAAACGGTCAGTATTATCATACTTATTTACTGTAATCAACGTTGCGCTAATTCTGTTCTCAGTTCTTTTTTAAGTCGATTCAATTATTTGTTTAGCAAGCATTATCACAAAATATCTGCAGTCCTTTCATACAAACATGGAGTGGAATGCACAGCCTGACATAATCACCCCGAAAGCTGCACCAAATATACATGAACTACCCTCACAGCAATTTCATTTCTGTCTCCTGAAAACCTTTGCCAGCCTCATCTGTCATACCTTTTCAGTCATTCAACTCCATTTAACCTCAGTTACTGACTGTCAAATTAATTAAATAGTATGGCGAATACCCCTGGCAACACTGTATTTTGAGCATTTCACTTTCGTAGTATTTCTACCTCAAGCTCGAGTAGCAAGCAACCTCGATGTGTCCAGGATTAAAAACTCCACTGGTGACTAACTAATGTTGTGAATACATACCACCTACATGTATCTTAAGATAGTGTTCACTCAAACTGCCGAAAAGCGTCTACTTTCCACCAATTTTCTAAGTTTTTTCTTAAAAAATGGTATTTATAATGTATTTCAGTTCGAAAACACCTGAAAACGACGTAGAACATCCAAAGCATAGCATGGCGATAACACATAACGACACCCTGTGTGCCTTTATCAATTGCAGGTAAGTTTGAGCGCCCGCGAGTGAGATAAACAAGTGTTTACTCGCTTGTGATTGGCCAGTTTGTCTTTCGGGTAGAGGTTATCTCAAACCTCATATAGCTGTTTAGTTAAGTTCTGACTACCACCCTACAAACCTGCCTGGAGTCTTCCTATGACCTAAAGATACACGGTGTCAATGTAGTTGAAGATTGAACGATTAACATTAGACTGCATTTCATTTACAATCCTAACAACAGTTTCGGTATTTTGAGCGAGCTAGGGCGGATATGTTAATGTCTGTTTCTAGCCTCATTTTGAACTTATCGTGATTTTCACAACACCTAATTTCACAGGTTAGTTAGCGTTCAGAAAGAGTCATTCTATCAGGTGGTGATTGTGTTAAAAGATATCAAGAGTATACCTTTAATTCGAAGGTGTAGGTCTTCATTGATGTGTGAGATTGTGCTGTGGGTATGTCTGTGGTGTGTTGGCTTTTCTGTTTGTTTTTCATTTCGGCTCTGTCCGTGTGACCCAGGTTCTCGCGCTGGCATCCAAGTCAACGTGTGTTGGTCGTGATGGAAAAAAGGGATGGATCCCCCTTTTTCCCGGGGAGTGTCAATGTGGTTGAAGATTAAACGATCAATCCATGGTTGTTTGCTCAAACCCAACTTCCCCATAATTTTCGCGGGTCATCAATCTGCCAGTCATCGTCTCATCGGTCGCTGTTCAGAAAGAAGGCAGAAAAGACTGTCAGAAGTAATATCGTGATTTATTAATGTAATATTTGTTCTTAGGCGTTATTCTGTAATGCCAATAATGCTGGTTATATGTTGGTGTTAGAATAAAGAACTCTCGAGTCGCCAATCTGTGTTCTGGTGTTTGCATCCGTTAGTAATAAGCGTTTCCTAAAATCTTCGAGGGACAGCGTGAGGCCCAGCGTAGCAAGAGCTGGGCATCAACGGTTTATGAGACGTGATAGACAGTTTCTGAATTTTGGATAGTCTCCGTCCATCTTTCATGGTGCTGGCCAAGTCTTCATTGAACAAGCATTATCTGGAACTTCTCTGGAATTTGGTGAAGTTCAACGTTGCCTGGGTCAAAGAACGGACAGAGCGTCTTGGATGCAAACAGGAAAGTAAGTCATGGTGACTTGTCTGTTACTTGTAACGATGTGTCTGATGTTAAGCATGATATGGTTGATGTCACTGTTTCGCCGTCTAGGGATAATAGGAATATCAAACTCCCTAGGTATGAACCTCCGTGTTTCGACGGAAACCCAGTTGACTATTTGCAGTTTGTAAAGGAGTTTGAGGTCATGTTGAGTGGGCCTGCAATAAATGATGAAATGAAGTTAATGTATTTGATGAGGTACTGCACTGGAGTTGCTTCAAGAGCTATACAGTGCTGTAAGTTCATGCCCCCTAACGAAGG